AGCCAACAGTATGGCGTTTAGGAGAGGATTATGCTTGAAAAGCTAAATTAATTGAACCTTGTCACACAGTTATCAGTGTAGATTATCTCCCCTTGGCTACCATGTTAGATATATGCCTTTCGATATGCTGTTTGTAAAGTATGGATTACTGTGTATATTTTGAGTCCATTCTACCTTGATGAACATTTGTAATTCAAAAGAAAAGTTGCAACTTAAAAGATATTAAAAGTAACATTTGTATATTTATTCAACTAATATCAATTTGATACCGAGTCGGATGCAATATTGAGCCCTGGCTTCGGATTACTAGGGACGTTAGGGTTGGGTAGGGGTGGCTTAAATCCTATCGGATCTGTCTACGGATAAAATACAATCTAATACATGTAAGAGTTCCCTCCCCTGACACAGTCGTGACATTTCTACTACCAAGATCTCTTTTCGTTTGTTCTTAACCTTGTTAGCATTTGAGAATGTGACATTGCTGATCTGGAAAGATCACACCAGATGTACCCAACATTGCGGCGGTCGTCGATGAGTCATAAGACGTTTACCGTTCCGGAACACCTTTACTTATTTATTATTATTTCATATCATAATTTTTGTATAGGATCTCATTTTTTTGTTCATGTTTAAACTCGATTAATTGGTTTTGAGTTTGGATTAAAGTTTTGTTAAATTACGATAATTTCCTGATTATATTATAATGCTTTGATTGATTTAAACATAGTTTACTATATCAGTAGCTGATAAATGAATCAGAGACAAGTTCTAGCAACTAATGAACTCTTCTTCATAAATAAAATTACAAATAATTAATATACTGCACGTTACACATATTCATGCTATAAATATGAAGATAAGTTATTCGTAGACGTAAAATTGTAAGTTTAAATGATTTCGTCAAAATGAGGAAAATATTAGATGATAGGATGGAAAGAAAAGAAAAAGAGATAGTATAGATGTAGATGTTGTATGAATTTTATATCAATTCAGTGCCGACTACAAACAGTTAATAATTAGGTAGTGTTAAAACGCTTTGTTTTATGAACTTTTGAACTAACAATATTACAATTAGTTACATATGAGTAAACATCACTGTCGCCCCATAAGATTATTATTTGTCTCTGCTCGTTTGCTATGTACAAAAGTATTGTGTCCCTTTTCATTGATTTCTTCTAGAATTTTTTTCTTTGGTTAATTTTATCGTTAGAACAATGCTTGTTTCACTTGTTCCAATCACCATTTGTTCTTTTAGCTAGATTTGAATTCATTGGTGAGCCACGAGTCACTCATTTGTATTGTATTTGACGTTTCCTGAAATATTTACTGTTTTGATATATCTGATGTCGAAGAAAACATCATATTGAGCCAAATGTAACTTTTTAATACTTTTTAAGAATTTTTATTTTTGGTTCGGGCTTAATTCAACTTTTAAATCAATTAAAAAACACTTACTATTCTTTTAAAGACCTATGTGCCCAATTTCTTCTTTTAGTCACATTTTCTTTTTGTTTTATGAAAGAATTTGAATAGAACCGTCACTGCAGGTAGTTTAAAGAACTAGCGTGCTACCGAGAAAGTTCTATTTTATCGTAGTTTGCATTTTCATTGCTGTTAACAGTAGGGACATAATTTAAGATGACATTTAAATTCATAGTCTGGTGTTTATTCTTTGAATACCATGACGTCTGTCGGGAAGAAAGAAAACACACCTAGACGTTCGACCATGCGTATCGGTTGGGTGTAACGCTTCACCATAACATTGCGAATGAAAGCATCATACCTGGATTCTGTTGGTTGTTTATACTTTGGCATCATAGAACACCCAGATGTTACGCATGGCTAGACGCCATGTCACGCCTACTCTCAAATCGGACATCTAACTTAGCATGAGCTACCAAACTTTAAACATAATTAAAGAAAATGTGTTAGGTGAACACTTTCGAGTTGCGTGTGTAGTTAGTAACAGCTTTGGGTTGATACAGAGTTGAACACGCGGATTATAGACTCCATCGTTGAAACGACATGTGTTGTTAAAGTTTTTCGAAGTTTTGTTTCAAAACAAAAATTCTGTTGCTGGAACAAAACAAAAACTCTGTTGCTGGAACATATACTCAACAAGAAGGTAAGTTAACGGTTTCAAATTGCACTATTCCATCTTTTTTAATGTCCATTTCAAGACCTTTCAAAAAACCATCTTATATGCCGTGCTGTTTTCAGGAATGTCTTGGACTGAAGAAGCTTTGTTACATTATTCATAGAAAACCATTTTGATTTTGACTTTAAGAAAACCCTAAAAACAGCGAAATGGTTTATTTTTTAAATACATAATAGTATTTCTATTGAAAATCTATAATGAGGCTTTCGCTTGCTTGTCAAAACAAGGTATGAATGCCCTGACTTACCTGATTCCTGAACACGTTCGGGTATTTCACTTTGTATGAAAACGGCAATATGCTGATTAATACGTACACGCAACATCACCAGACTGATATTCTACAGAGTAATGCTTTGCTGAATTTCACAAAACCGGGTCAAAATTGAATCGGACATTAAATGTTCAAATTCGGGGAAATACATTGTTTTTTCTAAACAGTTCATAATGCCTGAAAGCCAAAAGTACCAAACATACACAAAATATACAACTTGTATATACATCTACACTTTGATTGTCTTATGGATTTAAAAGCTTTGTCAATGGTAAATTAGAACATTTATGTGAAATTACGGATGAGGTAAAGCATTAGCACCACGCGCTAGGCTGTTGGTGTAAAACAGGTCAAAATTTTGCGAAATTGTCCGACATTTGCGATATGAAGCACTATTTTCGGACTATTAGCTCCTCGTCATAGTGTCCAATTTTTCGATCAGCTAAATCTTGTTAACTTTTATGAGCCTCGATATAGTTTCAGTTATTAGATAGACTTGTATTCTGCTGTGAAGTCATGTTATTCTAAACAGTATAGGGTTAGAGGGACCAACTTATGGGGCTGCTGCACCTCCCCGTCTAAATTTCGACTTTTTTTGATGATCACTTAGGATTTTCCTTAGTAGCCTCCTAAGCTTCAAACTTTAAGGCCTTAGCATCAATGGCAAGTCCTAAAAGGACGAAACAGCTGTATGATGCAGTTTAATTCATTGTTTGGCTCTACTGTATCTCTATCTAAATGGTGAAAATGTGCTTTTCTCTTGTGTGTCTTTTGTACAACTTTACTATATCAATGTGACCAGTCTCCACTGTAACATTTTTATATAAGTGGAATTTACATGTTGAAAATGTCTATATATAGGTGTCGTTCATATTGTCCGTAAGTGCCATCTGAATGACATTATATGCTCATATCTATCGTTTTCAATGTTTAACATCCCTGCATCCCCGACCTTTGATTTTTACATATCTCATTCGATTCGATATTTAAAGATTCTGTTCCCAATATAACGAGTTTTATCAACTGACGGACAAACTAATACTACGCGGTTTCAAAAGATGCAGGTTGATGAAAATCATGGATAAGTTTTGGGGTCGTCATATTTATTTCATTGCGAAATATTTCTTTAAACGATATGAAACTGGACATGTTTGATGCTCGTTAGTTTGCCTGTTGGTTTGAGAACGTGACACTACTTACTTGGACTGATCAAAATTTACATGGCGGTTTTCAGAAGTCTCCGTGTAAATCTTTCTTTTGTTCATATTTTGCGTTGGTTTTATTGTATTTGAGTTTAGATTATAATTATGTTGAGATGTTGGTATTTTCTTGGTTGTTTTGACCGAACTTTACAAGGTGGGTGACGTCGATGGATCAGAAGACGCTTACTCTTTGTATCTTTTGCAAGAGAGTTTATGTAAATCTTTGTTTTATATTTTGTTCTAGATTTATGGAATTTGAGTTTGAATCGTTTTTATGGTCACATTTTCCTTGGGGTTTTGTTTTACGGAAAGTCAACATCAATTTGTTTAGAGTAAGTAGTTGTAATATTCCTACTCCGTTGGCAGTTTATGATCTTGTAAAACACTGGTTAGGTTACATGGTAACGATGACCTACAACAATCCATATTAGATTATTGAATTAACGGATATAACTGACAAACGAAACAAATACCAAAGTTATCAACCTTTCATTGAAACAAAAATGTTACAATAAGATTAGTTCCCATCTCAGTTGTTACCAACCGAGTGCACTAAACACAATATCGCACATCAAATTATGACGCTTGTATCAGACAACCCGTGTCAATAAAATCGTGTGAACGTGAACCATGAGTCTGATTTCTTCTGCAGTGCATACAAATAACTGTCGATGTACAGTAAGCGTCTCGCACAACATTAACTTGTAGATATTAGGATTATATTTACAAGTTGTAAAGACCTATGTCACAGTGAATGTGGAGTCTTTGTCGATCGACAGTTATTTAGTTTAGCGTCTCAGCAGGCTTCACAGCAATAACAAACAACAGGTATAAAAATCCGTACATAACAAAACCGCCGGAAGTGAAGAGCGAGTATTATCATGGAGATAGAATTATAAAATATTTATCTGTCAGCTACGATACTTGTCGTCATCTGAAAGAAAGATAAATTTATCTATTTCTTCTGAAAATTCTGATCGGTAGATCGATCTATTTCGTACGAAATATACTGTAATAGGAAACTACGTGTAAAACTCCTTATGAAGAACCATAAACAGGAGTTTTGGTTTTATCATCACCGTTGGGAATTATGATAGAACTTCAAGAATTAGTTTTTCTCTGTGTATTCAGATGCCTCTCTGCATTTAACATGAATAATGAACGTAAACAATTTACGAGAATTTCTTTTCGTTTAAGCGAAACTTAATTATGAATCACACGGGTTTAGTCCGTGATTGAAGTATACATTTATCGGGGATGTTTTAGTTATCCTGGGGCAATTATTCCTCATATTGGGTTCAAAGATAAAGTTATATAAACGTCCCGGTTTAAAAAATAGTCTCAATTTTCTGATCCGATTTATAAAGCTATGAGGGACGGAAAGCCCATGGCGCGATCTGGCCAATATGCAGGCAATTGTCTTTCCTAACGGACCTATTTTAAACAAGTGTGATAAATTTATTTACAGTACATAAATAAGATATCGAGTTATCTAGTACTGAAATTTATCTAATACTGTGTATATTGTGACACACTATCTGATCCGTATAAATATATAGCATGCGATGGAGCTTTCAAGTCAGGTTTTACAATTAAAACGTCCAGACAAGAGAACGTTGGGTCGCCCATCATGGAGTATCGAGGATGCTCATAGCATGACGGATTAAGTCTTCCAACTGCGCGTCCATTACACCATAAACTGGTCATTCAATTGTTAAAATATCTATGTTTCATGCTTAGTGCCCACCCTCCAGTGTGCCCATTTACATAATCTGATGTAGTCGTTATTTAGCGTCTCATTAGGATAGCATCTTGTATTACTGTTTAATTGACATTTAAATTACATTAAACTGTTTTACATTGATATTATTTCAGATCCCAGCGATCTGGCTTCAATTACTCTTTTTCGGAGTACCTTGGACAAAAGAAGACAAAATACCAAGGAAGATCTGTAAGTCATACTGAAAACGTGCACCTCCCCATCTAGATTGACATTATTTGTAGGGTTCAAAGTTAAGGTCCGTAGCATCACTGACGAAACAGTTGCAAGATGAAATCTAAAGTTTGTATTTAAAACTGCTGTTTACTTCTGTGTCTTTTGTAAAATATTACCATCGTAACAAGTATTCCCACCAAAATTAAAACCAACTAAAGCAAACAAGTTACTACGCGTAAAAATTAAAACTGTATTCCGACATCATAAAATGCATGACCATATGCATAATTCTAGTACTGTTGAAAAGATCATAAATTTGTTTGTAGTTAAAAACACAAGGAGTGTCATTTAAGTGTTGTCGTTTAAAGTTATGTGTCTGTGTAAAATATTATGAAAAGTGATATGAAGCGTTGAAATGCGCTATTTTAGAGGGTAATGATTCACGCAATTTTTATCATACTTCTTGGATGAATGTACGAGGAATATCACTCGGTGATACTTCGGATTTTACAGAAACGATGTCATTAAAGGCACTAAGGTTACATTTCTCGGTATGGTGGCGTTTTATGACCAGTTACTTGTATAGTAAACCCTTATAGCGTTAAGGTCACAGAACCAGCGTCGGTCATTTTAGGATTTCGTTCATGTTCTGATTAAAATTCACACAGCGGTGTAAATATTCATAAATTGAGGATTTCCCTACTTGATCTAGGTTCGCCACGGTAAACTGCTCGTGCATTCATTAGTTCATATAAGACAGAAACATGGTAGAGTTTTTTTAATCAGGTGCGATATGTTTAAGGTTTAATCAACTGACATCGGAGCATACAGTGATACCTGATTCCAATTTACATATATACTAATAATATTATCTAATTTAAAGGACACCTTAAATATTGTTACACTGGTGGAAATAAAGGCCAGGTCAGAAAATCTACAAGTCGTGTCAAAGTCATTAAAATTACCTCGTGCTCGTTAATTGCTTGTCGCTCAGCATTGGATCGGATACAACAATCGAATTAGCAAATTTTACTGCAATGTGACCAGGTCGTGTGTTATGCTACGGAGTACAGTTTATGTATGATATTTCAGTGTGACGGCACTATATCACGATGTGCGTTAGTGGACTCGTCATCTGGACATCTCCTTAAAATGACTCTCGCTGTTATGTGAGAGTGAATTCCACAAACAAACAAATGGAGATCATTACGTAGTATTGATATTACCTCACGTCATCCAGAAACATATCACATGTCCAAAGATAAATGTGCCAATATTTCAGTAAACATCATGTAATTTAACCAATGTAACGACACGAACTAGAGTTTTCGGTGAATTTTAAGTGTGCGGTATCTAGATGTAGGCATGTTTAAACAAAATGGTTATCATTTTACCCTACACATAAACTCTGCAATATTAATACAACAATGTAATGTTTGGTAATGTTTGCTTTGGCGGGCATGTTTTCTTTGAAATTCTACCAGATCCTTCTTAGGTAATTTGATAAACACTTTTGCAGAGTGATAAATAAACATACCGAATTTTCGTATGTTTTGTTCACATAAATCACATGGAAATTAGATTCAGTTGACAAAATTGTCACGTATTAGAAATACAACCAAGGAGAAAAAATGCTAGGTAAAGTTCGGAGTGTCAGAAGGCGTTATGTAATAAACGTGTATTCAGCTGTCGTGTCGTATTTCTTATCACCTTGGATAGTGTTCGGATGTTAATGTCCCCAATACGACTATAGTCATAGGAAGATTGATGTCTTGTTAGGTTAAACGATACATCTTCACTGGACTGTTATGAGGATAGCAAATCAATTATACCCCAACCGCACAGTCATCACCTCTACCTCACTCCCATCTCATCCATCCCTTCTCCCGTCACCCCTACCCCTACTCCCGTCACCCCCACCCCTACTCCCGTCACCCCCACCCCTACTCCCGTCACCCACACCCCTACTCCCGTCACCCCCACCCCTACTCCCGTCACCCCTACCCCTACTCCCGTCACCCCTACCCCTACTCCCATCACCCCCACCCACTCCCGTCTCCTCCATCCCTACTCCCGTCACCCCTACCCCTACTCCCGTCACCCACACCCCTACTTCCGTCACCCACACCCCTACTTCCGTCACCCCCACCCTACTCCCGTCACCCCTACCCCTACTCCCATCACCCCCACCCCTACTTCCATCACCCCTACCCCTACTTCCATCACCCCACCCACCCTATCACCCCACCCTACTCTCCAGCGTAAGAATACACACAGTAAAAGCCTCATACACATACACTATGTAACATATAATTCAGGACTTAGGATGTATGTTTCTAACTTAACAAGGGTTGCAAAGTAAAATAGAAAACAAAAACTAAAAGCAAAACACAACAACAGAAATATTAGTTTCCCTAAGGTACCTGTAAGTCTAGTATCAGAAATCTTTCTCATCGCCGGTATTTGGTAAACTACCGTTTAGCAGCAGAAACTTCATAAATACGACCTTTATCCGAATTTCTATCAGTAACGTTACGTTTAATTCATCTTCAAAATCGACACTCAAAATTCCTCTTTTGTATTTTTGCGAGTTATTTTGTGTACAATGTACATGTTTGCAAGAAATGTTATGTGACTCGCCGTTTACCGGAGAGATTACGACGACAGTGTTTTAACTATTACACGGTAACTCTGGTAAAATTCATCGACATCTACATCCGTGCTCTGTATCTCCTCCATTAGGTAAATATGTCGGAAGCCCCGTGTAAGTGATTAATACAGTTCGCTCAACCACGAGAATCGCGAGGCTATCATAACACGCAACGTGTAGGACTTATCCGAGGGAGTTCCCAGGAAGATTTAGCTTGTTCCGCCCTTTATCCATCAGAGGGCAAGATGGCTTCCACGGGTTACTCCTGTTCTGTAAACTAACAGTCCAGACTTCACCACACCCAACGTAAACAAAAATTGTGTACTTAACATGGTTACCTTGAAAATGAACCAAAGGCCAGATTGACACAGAGATAATTCAACAACTTCTATTATTATTACTAAATCTGGCAAATCAAACGACAACATATCCTACAGATAACTACTGTATACACGTTCGTTAATGGAGAAAAGGTTTATTTCATTTCCAATATATAATAGTGTATACATTTCTTGGTCAAAGATCTTTTTACAAGAATGGAATTATCTTTTGTTAAAGTCTTACTTTTCTTTTCAGTAAACACATTTTTTAATTTGTTTAAATCATCGATCCTTTTTAGATTTTATTACAACAACTATTTACGCGTACTTGTAAACATTTAAATGTCATTTTACAGTAGGTTGGCGATACTATTCAAACAGTTTTACTACTTATTTCCGGGGAAAACTGACGTAAGAATGAAATAAAAAATCACGTCTGCATATTTTCTGTAAATTGATTAATATAAACTTATGGACCCTACTGTAGGATAACATATTTGTTTACCTTTGAAGCATTTATCTTCCATTTAAAATTCAGTTTTAAACCCCACCTTATCGCGTCACCTAAACACACTGAACAAGTAATAAATTCCGTCGCCTGTGCAATTGTTTCACAACAACTAAGCGCTTGGTCGAATATCTTTACGACAGAACGCGCCACACCCACCACGCCCATTGCGACAACAGTGTACTCCGATTTTAGTTTACCTGTATGGAAAAGACGATAGTCTGATCTCAAAGTTAAAAACAGAAACCTTCTTTTACTGTCCTTTTTTGACTGTCTGTTACTGTAATTGGTGATGTTACAACTTGTCTGATGTAATACATAAGACTAAGACTTGATGTACTGGAGCTGACTGTAACGTTCGTCATGTCATTCCATTATTATTGTACTTATCCAACGACACTGCTCACAAGAACAGAAAACTCTAGTACGAAAAAAAGACGGAATATTTTAACTCAGTCAAAACATACTCTAAAATAAACTTTTCACGGCCAGTGACGTCAGCCAGTCCTGTTTTTTAAGAAGGAATCGATCAAAAGATTATTACACTTACAAAAAAAAGTCTAGATATTTAGTTTTAAATCAGCTAGTTAATGTTTTGTTCTTTCGTCCTTCTAGAACTCGTCAGTGATACAAAGGGTTGGGTTGACATGACCTTGAACTCTGTGGATCCTCAAAAAGTGTCATACGTTTTACTGTAAAAAAAACAATGGATTGGCTACTGTTCTTAAGAATTTCTGCATTGGTTTCGATTTCTCCCTTTTTACACTTAATTTTTCCAAATATTATTGATGTATTTTAAAAATGATTTGTTATAGAAGCTGATGATAAAATAAGTAATGTACTAATTAATATTTATCTCATATCTACGTATCAGTGACAGAGGTCCACATTGGATTAATCTATTCTTCACCCGTATATAACATTAGAATTATATTACCGAAGATTTCTTCAAGCATTGAATCTGAAATGAGTATATACACGGTAGATCATGTCAATAAATATCTCCTGTATGCTCTATCATGGCTGACTGGCTTACAAGGCCACACCCAACTTAATTATTATCTATACAAAATTTTACCCATACTGTCAATAACTCAAACAAATTTTGTATCGGTAACACCAAACAGTGCGAATTTTGTTAATAATCATGAAAAGTCCCCTACGTGGTTTATCAAAGTTTATTCAAATTACAATTGAAGATCTTCATGTGAATTTAACACAATTTCCCTTACGGATAGTCTTACCTTTGAGGCCTTTAAAAAGGCTACGTTAGTATTCATCTTTATCACTAACAGCTGGTCCTGTACTTACCAAACTTGACCAAGCAAACAAACAACAAATAATTACACCAGTATATAAAATAAAAACATAACATACATTAATAGTACTCTTGGGGTGCAGGGCCGACTGAGAACATCTTTCACTGATGAAATATTCAATGTCTTTTTTCTATATTAAGGTCCTGTGGGGTTCCTAGGCCATTCCTGTCATTTATGATAAGGAGACTGAACCTTCAAGCTTCCGGTCTTATTTACATCCCTTTCACTTTGTCTCTTTCTTACTTAAGTAAAATCTGATCCGCAATGTCCTAACATCTACCTCAATCACTGATCCTTTCAACATTTGATGCATGTAATATTTATCAATTATACCAACTCATTTACTGAAAATCAATCGCGCGTAACCACTGAATCTCTCACTAATCTAATATTGAAATTTCTTTTTATTGAAAAAAACCCCAACGAATACACAAACATTGATATTGGATCAGCGGAATCAAATCCCAAAACGAGATAATGTTAGCATGGTTACCATCAGTGATGTTACCATGATTACAATTAGTGATGTTACTAGGGTTACCATCATTGTCATTATAATGGTTACCATAAGTGACGTTTACGACAGTTACCATCAATGATGTTACTATGGTTACCATTATTGAAGTTTAACATGGTTACTTGCAGTGATGTAACTATGGTTACCATTAGTGATGCTTAACATGGTTACTTTCAGCGATGTAACTATGGTTACCATTAGTGATGCTTAACATGGTTACTTTCAATGATGTAACTATGGTTACCATTAGTAATATTTAGTTTGTATAATAGCGATCCTGACCTCAGTGATTCCTATGAGATTGATAATAAATCAATTACATTGTATAAGCCGGCGAGGTAACACCAACAGCAATCAGATGATTTACAAGATAACATAAAAAAAGTAATATGGAATTTTGAAATGGTTTACTCCTAAAACAAACAAAACAGAGGATTGGACTGTTATTAATGTTGTTTCTTCGTACATATTAAATATTTTGCAGTGTGTTCAAATTAAGTTAAGCCAAAGCTCAGTTCCAAAATAATGTAACTTGGTAAAACATAGATCCACATAATCATCTTGCTTCTAAATTTTAAAACCTTATTTTTTTAAACCACATTCCGGAAAAGAGATTATTTTTCGGTTAGTGGACCTATTTATGTCTGAGGGACTTCAATGTCGAGTATAACACTTTTTTTTTTCAGTTGAAGAGATGACTACCCCCAGTATTCCTTTGTGTGTTCTCGTGTTGTGCTCTGTCTTTTTAAATGTCGGTAAGTTATCTCTTTCTATAGTCTTTAAAATGAAAGATGACAAAACTAAAGTATCATGGTCTTCATTTTAAATGTAACAACCCAAAGTAGTACAAGTATACCAAAACAGAAAATTTACGAACAAATCTTCGAACCCCATTTTTGACATATGAAAATTTTCAATTTATCTCTTGGTTCATAAACATGTGAAATCACTACAACTACTGATGCAGCTACAACCACTACTGATACTGTAACTACCACTACTGACACAGCCACTACCACTACTGATGCGGCAACTACCACTACTGATGCTGTAAATACCACTACTGTTGCGGCAACTACCACTACTGATACCGTAATTACCACTACTGATGCAGCAACTACCACTACTGATACCGTAATTACCACTACTGATGCAGCAACTACCACTACTGATGCAGCAACTACCACTACTGATGCAGCAACTACCACTACTGACGCAGCCACTACCACTACTGATGCGGCAACTACCACTATTGATACTGTAACTACCACTACTGTTCCGGCAACTACCACTACTGACGCAGCCACTACCACTACTGATGCAACCACTACCACTACTGACGCAGCCACTACCACTACAGATGCGGCAACTACCACTACTGATGCTGTAACTACCACTACTGTTGCAGCAACTACCATTACTGAGGCAGCCACTACCACTACTGGTGCAGCTACTTCCACTACTAACGCAGCCACTACCACTACTGACGCAGACACTACCACTACTGACGCAGCCACTACCACTACTGATTGGGCAACTACCACTACTGATATTGTAACTACCACTACTGTTGAGGCAACTACCACTACTTACGCAGCCACTACCACTACTGATGCAACCACTACCACTACTGACGCAGACACTACCACTACTGACGCAGCCACTACCACTACAGATGCGGCAACTACCACTACTGATGCTGTAACTACCACTACTGTTGCGACAACTTCCACTACTAACGCAGCCACTACCACTACTGACGCAGACACTACCACTACTGACGCAGCCACTACCACTACTGATGCGGCAACTACCACTACTGATGCTGTAACTACCACTACTGTTGCGGCAACTACCACTACAATTGAAGCAACTACCACTACTGACGCAGCCACTACCACTACTGATGCAACCACTACCACTACTGACGCAGGCACTACCACTACT